TGGATGGATGGATGGAAAGATAGATAGATAGATAGATAGATAGATAGTCAGCTAGATAGAACCCCTCGTTCTAGGTGAGGCATTCTCAGCCTGAGCTGGGAGCTGGATGACAAGGCCACATGGGGCCTGCTGACCACTGTGCATGTTTTGCAGCATCCCATGGTATCTCCCCACCCCATGCTGGGAACACACATCCAGATTTTGCTCTCAAACCAAGGAGTCTCTGGAACCTGCCCTGGTGTGTTCATGTTCTTCAGTGCCCAGCGTCCACCCTGCCATCAGCCATCAGTGTGTTAACCACTGTCATCTCTGTGACAGTGACACCAGCACCCCGCTTTGCAGAGACAAGGAGACGGCGGCAGAAGGGGGCTAGGGTGCCTTCCAGGGGAACCTAAACTAGCCCGGATTGCTGTACAGATTCATTTGGTCTCTCTGCTTTGCTATTTTTTTTCCTCCAGGGTGAGATGTCATTCGCTCAGAGCTGCTCAGGCTCCTGTAGAGGCTGGCTCTGCAAAAGGGGAACAAGTGTCCCAAGTGGTGAGCGCCCTTGAAAGTGGCCATCGTTCCTCGGCTCCTGAGCAGAAACGCTGAGCTCTGAGCTCACTCCCAGCTCCCATCCACCCTTGAACCACCAGGCTTCCTCGGCAGACAGGACACAGCTGTCCTGCCCCCGTCCCAGCCTCAGTTTGGTCCTTCATGGTGCAGGGGGACGGGGGAGGGGGCAAACTGAAGGAAGAAGGTCGGGCCGGATGAGCCCAGAGCCAGCTCACGGGAGCGGACAGACAGCGCCAGGGCAGGGGACAAGATACCACAGCGACTCACCAGCAGGGCCATCTGCCCTCGGCCAGATCAGATCGCTCGCCAGCCGCTGACATCGGCCACCAGAGCAGTGGCTGCCTGCAAGTCCTGGAACACCGACAGGCAGAGCTGAGGTGGCCGCAGACAGCACCCGGCAAGCTGCCCTCCGCGCCCCATTCTAGAAGCCACCGAAGTCCCCTAGCAGAGCCCAGATGTCACTCGGGGACGGCGGGTTCCCTGACGGGATTGTGTCAACGCATAGACTGGACGAAAGTAACCTCATTAGTGAAATTCTAATTCCCTTGTGCATCTAGGATGGGTCACCCAGAGACACACGTGTGTGCATGCACACCGCACACTGCACACATGTGAGTGCACACACATGCACACCATACAATGTGTGATGATGTGTGGATAAACAGGTACACATATAGATGATAGACAGTAGAGAGAGAGAGAGATGGTAGATAGATACGATGGATAGATGGGTAGATGGATAGATAGAGGTAGATAGACACAGAGACAGAGACAGAGATAGAGATAGAGGTAGAGAGAGATAGAGACAGAGATAGAGATAGAGATAGAGATAGAAATAGATGGATGCATGGATGGATAGATAATAGATGGATAGATAGATACATACATACATACATAGATACGTAGATAGACATGATGGATGGGTAGATAGATATGATGGATGGATGGATGGATGGATGGATGGATAGATGATAGATAAATAGATAGATAGATAGATACATACATACATACATAGACACGATGCGTGGATGGATAGATATGATGGATGGACAGATTGCATCCACACACTACACGTGTGTGTACATGAACACGCATGCAGGCACACATACATACCACACACTGTACACACATACGTGCACACATGCACACCACAATGCATCCAGACATCACATGTGCATGCACACGTACATGGTAATCCACGCTGCCCATGTATGCACAAGCACGGCACATATGTTTGCACACCACACATGCGAGCTGTGCATGTACCACATGTGTGCATACCAATGCACACACCACAAATGCAGGCAGACGCCACAACACGCGCGTGCCCACCACAGATGCATGCACGCACACACGATCATGACACACCACTTGCACACACACCCCACACAGGCACATGAGCGCATGAAAACACATGTGCCACACACACGTACAGAAATGCACACGCATACACTGGCTCACCGCTCGTCCCTGGGAGGATCACATGATCTCATCTTGCCTACACATCTGAACACTCTTGAGCAAACACAATGACGAGGGATCTGTGAGTAAAGCAGCCTGAGTCTTCCTTCCTCATGACACAGGGGACGCTCTTCTGAGACGCTTCCCTCCTTGTGAAAATCGATAACCACGCTGCTATGCCTGCAGTTGTGAAGACATGACTATACCAACTAATGTCAAGCAGTCTTGAGTCTCATGTTAGCTTTTCTTTCTTCTATGTAATCCAAACAGAAGATTTCACGGAACGATCCACATTACCCATCAAAAATAATCTTTGTGACTATGCTCAATCCTAGAACCCTTGAAAGCACATCCTAGAACCTCAAAAGCACATCCAAGAACCCTCAAACGCACATCCTAGAACCCTCGAAAGCACAGCCTAGCATCCTCAAAAGCATATCCAAGAACCTCGAAAGCACATCCTAGAACCCTTGAAAGCACAGCCTAGAACCTCTAAAGCATATGCTAGAACCCTTAAAAGCACATCCTAGAACCTAGAACCTCTAAAGCACATCCTAGAACCCTCAAAAGCACATCCTAGAACCTCAAAACCACA